TTTTTTTTTATATATTTCCTTTTTTATAAATTTTTTTTTACAATATCATGATTTTTGATTGATCTAAATAATTCTTACAGTAGCTATGCAGAATATTCAAAACTTATCTTTGTTATTTGATAAGCTTCCTAGTGAATAATAACAAGTTGACTTAAAAAACAAATTTTTTTGATAATTCTATATCAATGAAAATTGAAAAATAAATTGTAACTCAAGGGAATTGTAATATCCAAAATAGGCAATTGATTTATTTATATCAAAATGGTCATATGGTTTCTTATTCTGTATAGTCTATACTCTTTCCAGTATCGATAGCTCTTTAGACCCTTAAACAGTATGAGTCATTCTATTTAATAAACTAACTCGGGAATGGGCGAGAATGGGCAGGATGAACCAATGGTAAAACTACCCAACCTGGCTCAATGGATTATTGCAAAAAAAAAAAAGGAAGAAAAAGAATTAATTTAATAAATACATGGTAAAATTTGTTCTATCCGTTAAAAATAAAATAACGCTCAATTTTTATACCTTGCAAGACAAGCCTATACTCAAAGTAAAACAAATTCGAACAATTTTCCGGATATTGAATATCTTTATAATGCTTGCGCGTTACTGTATTCCAGCCTGCGAACGCATCTGGGTAATCGTCGATACGGCGCGGCATATACAGTACATAACTATAAAGTAACTGATCTAAATTCAACATTTGGTGCAAGACAAAAATTATTTATCTTAGCGTTGAGTTTTTAATTGAATTTTATATTATCATACATATAAAAAATGATTATTATGTGATGTTGATGAATTTGCTGAGTAATTATCATTATATGTGCACCTTTCGGAATTCTATAAAATAAAATAGAATAAAATCATTTTTTAATTGACACCTTTCTAATATTATATTTACCAAAATTGAACGGAAGTGAAAATAGAAATTGCGTCAGTAGGTATAATGTCTTAAACCGTCGAATGAAAAAAATAATTTTGTGAAATCAGAAAGAATATCTGAACAAATCAGTTATTTTCCAAGTCCTTAACTCTGACATAAACGGCATTCCGGTGAGCTTCCAACCCCTCTATTTCAGCCAATCTCATGACGATATGCCCTAAATTTTTCAATCCTTCTTTGGTCAACTTTTGTGCTGTAATATGTTTCAGGAATGTAAGAGTGTTGACGCCTGAATACATTCGCGCGTATCCGTATGTAGGGAGAGTGTGATTTGTACCTGAGGCATAATCGCCGCAACTGGAAATATTAAGAATGTGAGTTAACACAAATCCAATGATGAGATTATATAATGTAAATCTTGTCTTCCGATACCTTTCAGGCGAATAAGCACCAACGAAAACACTACCCGCATTTTGAACTTTTTCCACACATCTCTCAGCACTTTCAATATGTAAAATCAAGTGTTCTGGTGCATAGTCATTCGAAAATTTCATAGCTTCATCCATATCATTTACTTCCAATATGAAACTTTTCGGAATTGATTCACGCACAATGTTTACTCTCGGCAAGCGACTTGCTTGTTCGTGAATTTCACGTTCGATATTCGAAAGATGCTCGGGAGTAAGCGACACTCCAACTAACACTACTTGAGAATCTGTGCCGTGTTCAGCCTGTGATAATAAATCGGATGCAACATATTCGGGAATGCTTGTATTATCAGCAATAACCAAAAGTTCAGAAGGTCCTGCTGGCATGTCGATGGATATCATAGCGGAACTGTCATTCTATTAAGTTTTTAAAGGATAATAATTGTCAAAAAATTCGAAGTAAAAAAAAAAAAAAGAGAGGAATTCTACTCACTTGTGCCAACATCTTAGCAGCAGTGACATATTGATTGCCAGGACCACATATCTTATCAACCTTCGGAACAGTATCAGTTCCGTAAGCCAATGCCGCGATTGCCTGGGCACCTCCAGCCAACACAACTTTTGATGCGCCGACTTTATGTGCAACGTATAGCACTTCCGGAACTACTGTTCCATCTTTTCGTGGGGGGCTTGCAATGACGATCTCTTTACATCCAGCAACTTTAGCAGGAATACCTAGCATAAGGGTTGTGGATGGTAAAATTGCGGTACCACCAGGTATATATAGACCTACGCGTTCAATGGGACGGCTAAAGCGAGAGCAAGTTACACCAGGCATTGTTTCAACAATCAATGTGGATCGATCATATTGGGCGTCGTGAAATCTATATATGTTGTCAAAAGCTTGGTCAATCGCGTGACGAGTGATTTCATCAAGCTTCATAAATTCAGGAGGGAAAGGTGCCGAGATTACAGGCGTTTCTAGTTGAACTCCATCAAATTTTGCGGTATATTCAATGAGGGCCACATCACCTCTCTTACGAACATCTTCTACAATTGGACGCACACTGGCAATAATATCATCGGACCCAATTATTGGTCGCTGAAGAAGAGAGGCCCTTTGTGTAGCATCAATATCTGATAATGCGAATTTTTGCATTTTAATGTCATCTTTACTGGTAACTATTGTGGGAACCTGAATGCGTTCCGTTTTCAGTAACGATGATTCTTTTTCCTTAGTAAATTCATCCCATTTAGGTTTTGTATTACCGGGTCTTCGGGTTACTTTCTTTGCGCGTCGATCCAGATGCGCCTCCACATCGGCCAAGGATACACCATTTGAAACACATTTTACAAGGGCGAAATAGAACAGATCCGCAGTTTCCCAGGCGATGTCCTCTTTTGTGCTTGCGGAGCATAATTCATCTGCTTCCTCCATAATCTTTGAACGAAGCAAGTCCGGATTCTGGAATAGTCTTTGTGTGTATGATCCGGGTGGAGAAGATGTCTTCCGGCTTTGAAGCGTTTCTTCAAGTGCTGTGAGACCATTATCCACTCCAAAGCAAGTACGCATGTTTAAGTGACAAAATCCTAAATTATATGGCAAATTAGATCGAGTTGTTAACCGATTAATAAATAAAATAAGAATAAATTTACCAGTTCCATGCTGTTTTACCACAAAACGTAAAGAATCGCTGTCACAATCTACCTGAATTTTCTTCAATTCTTGAACTGATCCTGATGTGGCACCCTTATACCACAATCCTCGTTTCCTGCTCTGATATACACCTTTCCTAGTCTTGATTGCCTCACGCACACTCTCCGTGGATGAATAAACCACCCCTAACGCCACACCCCCTTCGTCCACCACAACAGTTACGAACAAACCATCAGGTCTATCCGATTTAAGCGAACAACTGAAGACGTCTGCAATATTTAGCAAACCATTAGCATCTACGTCCAGTGTAAGTTGATCCATGGGAACCACCAAATCGGCTGAAAATTCTGACAATTGTTTTACAATTTCTAAGGATGATGATAAATAAAAATTTTCAGAATGCAAAATAAGTCCCACTTTTGAAATACCGCCCGATGGTAACATCTTTTTTTGCACAGTTTGAGTGAAATTGCTAAAGTCCTTCAAGAGCTTCTCAGGTATTGACCTCACAACCTTGGAAACAGTTTCATCATTGTCAGCAGTAACCAAGTATCCAGAGACTAAAACTGACAGATTCGTTATCAGCTTCTCGTTGTTTGTGCCCGATATGTCACGTGAACTTAAATTTGCAACCAATCTATCTGCTGGTAGAGTGGAGATACTACCGCCCGTCAAAATTTGCGAAGAAGGGATGACAATCTTTTGAGCTCCTTGATCCAAAAGACGAATTATGGATTCAGCATCATCAGGGCCTACATCTTGAAAAGGAAATATCCAATATTTGTCCAGCGGAAAAGTTTTAAGGAAGCTGGATAAAGAACTCGTTTCATTAACATCCGGAATACGGAGAATAATATCTCCAATTAAATTTAGCGATTTTACGAGATCTGAAAGTTTTTCATCCGAAAAAGATTGGTTTGTAACATCAATTATAGGTAATATCATCGCTATTAAAATGAGATCGTAAAGATCGTAAGTTCAAAAAAATGTTCAATACTAAAATTTCGAGCCGCGTTTAAGATTATCTGATCAATATGTAACTGTGACTCAAAATCAATATCTGTCGCTATGACGTTTTTGTGTAATTTAAAACGATACTTTAAATATTAGCATTTATTTATTAACTGTCATGAGACATTTTTCCAATAATCAAACTCAATTTTTTTTTTTTGAAATGGTGACTCAGCCTTGTTTTATTAAAGTTTCAAGTAAGGGCAAAATGCAAATTTACTAATAAAACACTCCTAGAATTGTCTATGAGAGTTAAAATTTTACACTACTATTATCACTGATTCCATAAGCTGATTACTCATTGAGGATTTCATTGGTTGAGAACATATTGCCTGTTTCTCAGTTACTTTTAGTATCTCCATGTTGTAAAATTCTAACTACTTTAATTCATGGGATGATTTTTTGTCAGGAAGAATTATTTGATCAATCTAATTCATATATCAAGAAACAAGATTCATCGATCCTTCTAGATTCTCCTAACGCATATGCTCAGGTAAGATACATCATTCCAAAAAGAAAAAATTTCACTTTTCTATATCTTGCCTATTATAAAATCCAACTTTGTTATGAGAACTTTGTTTCGAATCTTTATCTATTCAATAGAACTAGAGAAGAAATCTATTTAATAGTCAGGAGTAGATAACTACAACTATAAAATCCAGTTGTAATATCTTGTAACCTTTACTATTTATTTATTTATAAAACTGGTTTATTCCATACCTTCTCCAATGTTTTATTAAGAAAAAATCATATTTAGCAACAATTAAAATAAATATTTTTCCATACTGTTTAAGGATTTACAGATCACTAGAGAAAAATAGATCGAAAAGCTATTTATTTTTATGACTCGATCTATGTCTAACTTAATCAGAATAAGAAAAATATATGACCATCTAGTAACATACTTCTTTTTTGAAAACAAAGTTAGGGACAAATAAGATACACAAGTTGTGCATTGCTTACTTATCTCTATATTCAGAAATCAATATTATCTAGAGTACACTAATGTATCCACCAATCAGCTTGTTACTATTTACTAACTGGACCTAATATATTAGGACTTGTCCAAGATTCTCAGCACCATTCAATATTGAGAGTCTTTTGTACTAATCTTATGACTAGTTAGTGTTGAAAAAAAAAATTAAAATAGAGAAAAGAGATTAAAAATATTTATAAGAAAATGAAATAGGGAAGAAAATGAAAGGATGTTTAACAACAGCTCTTTCACTCACCTTGCCTCTGAAAATATTCAACCCATAGCTTTAATACTTTCAAAGTTGATGAAAGAGAGGAGATCCCAGTCCATATGATGTTTATTTACCTATACAACTAGCCGATGTCTTATAATAGATCTAAAGTTTTTATGGAACTTAGAAAATATATTCACGTCTTATATTATATATATCCTTGTTTATATTTCTGCTAACCATGAAGCAACCAATCCTAAACTTCAGCCAATCAATCCATCCAAAATCTGGTATAATAGAAAATTCAAGATCAAGCTAGGGTAGGCAAATTTCCCCAGAAAAATTAAAAAAACTACTTCATGCTAAGAGAAAAGCCATTTTTGCCTATGGTATTGATATCAGCTTGCTGACTGGCATGGAGTTGTTGATCCAAACTTTTTTTTAGACTCTGAGACCTCCATAGGGAAGAGAGGGTGTGTACTTTTTCATCTGGTTTTTTTTTATTAGAAAAGCTTTTTTGTCATTAACTTCTTAAGTAGGGGGTTTGTGAAAAGAAAAATCTTGTAACCTTTACCATAATCAGATAAACTCTTTCTTGAAGGAACCAATAATATAAATAGAGAGATATTCTGTATTTATTTGTATCAAATTCAATTATTTATAGTGAACTCTAAATTCTTATAAAGCTGAAGAAATACATTTAGACACATAAGATAATCAATGAAAGCTTGTTTATATTTTTTTACTAATGTGAGCTCTATCTGTCTAATCATAGTGTGAGAAACTTTGTGCAACTCAAAATTTAGGGTCAAACTGAGATAGATAAAATTCTTTAGAAAAAAAATCAAGAACAAGCACTATGAGAAGTTAACAAATAACAAGAGAGTGGAAAATTGTCTCTTATCATTAGACACATTTCTATAATATTTTTTTACAATATAAAATAATGATACTTTAGTTCTTTTTCCTTTCAAAACTTTCTTGCTATTGATAGGAAAGGTTTTTCTTGATCTTTATGATCACTAGAGATCAAGTTTTTGTTTAAAGATAATGATAAACAAGAAGAGAGAAAGTAGTTGATGACTTTTGAAGTTTCTTCAAGTTGATTTAAAGAAAGTGGTAACTTAAAAGTATAAAAACTTTTTGTGAACATCTTTTTTATGTGTAATTAGAGGATCAGTGAAAAGAGTTTGATGAATAATTAAACTCAATATATTATAGTAGTTCTTGAAATACTTATTATATAGGTAAAAATGGATCACTAAAGGGAAAGGCAGAGACAAAAGTCAAATGTCTCTTACTATAAAACATTAAAATTTTTAAATTAAAAAATAAAAAACAAACTACTTATAATTGTTTTTCATTATTTAAATTATTGATTTATAACATTTTCTGATTTTTGTTTCTTTAAAGTAAAAAGTTATAAATTTTGTTTCTCAAAAAGAAACATAAGTGATCTGCAAAATTTTATGTGCTAAATACTTTAGGGACCTATAATTATATATGGGTAATTATTTTTGAAGGCAATAAAAATGTTAGATATGATTTTTTTAGATCCTATTTTTAAACAATATATACATAATGTAAATTTTAGGATTACAATTTTAGTGCTAGAAAATTTCAGTTTGTCTTCAAAAATAGTTTTAATAATATTATTCAATTTTAAATTTAATCAAAACTTTATTTTTATTTTTATTTTTTTTTTAAACTGCAACTGGTATTAGATGCAAGCTTTATTTAAGAATTAACTTAATTTTGATGGATAATTAAAT